CCCCCCCCAGCATTTCTAGGGAATTCTTGTTTCACTACAAGAATGAATGAGTGAATGAATGAATTATTAGCATTTTTATTCAGTTGTCCAGTAAAAATATCAACACATGAATAATACAATATAAATATATTTGAGAAGCAAAATACTGTTTTAGTAAAACTTTACTACAAAAAAATACTCAAAACTTTGAGATCAGTGAGATTTTATTTTTCTGAAAATAAATGAATACTTTTATTCAGCAAAGACACATTAAATTGATCAAAAAGTGAGAGTAAAGACATTTATAGCACAAGAGATTTCAAATATATTCTGTTCTTTTGAAATATTCATCAAATCATCTTGAAGAAAAAAAAAACATTATGGCTTACACAAAAATATTAAGCCGCAAGAAATATTTCTTGAGCATATTAAAATGATTTGTGAAGTAATATCATGTGACACTGAAGACAGGAGTAATGATGCTGAAAATTAAGCTCTGCATAACAGGAATAAATGACATTTTAAAATATATTAAAATAGAAAACATTTATTTTAAATTGTAACTGTAACTGTAAATATTTCACAAAAGTTATTTTTTTTAACAAATAGAGACTATACAATTTTTTTTGTTTTTAACTTTATGTTCAGGTTTTATGAAAGATGAAATGCAAATAAAATGTATTAATATTATTATTATTAGACAATTTCTATATATTTTTTTATATTATTATTTTCTTTTTCTTACCCCAATGGCTTTTTATTTTCATTTTAAGCTAAAATTAAGAAACAACATTTAGTAAGGTTTATACTTAAAACAATGAAAACATGGATGGATGGATGGATGGATGGATAGATAGATACAGTGGGTACGGAAAGTATTCAGACCCCCTTAAATTTTTCACTCTTTGTTATATTGCAGCCATTTGCTAAAGATAGAACTTTTTGGCCTTAATTCTAAGCGGTGTGTGTGGAGAAAACCAGGCACTGCTCATCACCTGTCCCAACAGTGAAGCATGGTGGTGGCAGCATCATGCTGTGGGGGTGTTTTTCAGCTGCAGGGACAGGACGACTGGTTGCAATCGAGGGAAAGATGAATGCGGCCAAGTACAGGGATATCCTGGGCGAAAACCTTCTCCAGAGTGCTCAGGACCTCAGACTGGAACTAAGGTTTACCTTCCAACAAGACAATGACCCTAAGCACACAGCTAAAATAATGAAGGAGTGGCTTCACAACAACTCTGTGACTGTTCTTGAATGGCCCGGCCAGAGCCCTGACTTAAACCCAATTGAGCATCTCTGGAGAGACCTAAAAATGGCTGTCCACCAACGTTTACCATCCAACCTGATAGAACTGGAGAGGATCTGCAAGGAGGAATGGCAGAGGATCCCCAATTCCAGGTGTGAAAAACTTGTTGCATCAAAAAGACTCATGGCTGTATTAGATCAAATGGGTGCTTCTACTAAATACTGAGCATTTTTCAGTTTTTCTTTTTTAATAAATCTGCAAAGATGTCAACAATTCTGTGTTTTTCTGTCAATATGGGGTGCTGTGTGTACATTAATGAGGAAAAAAAATTAACTTAAATGATTTTAGCAAATGGCTGCAATATAACAAAGAGTGAAAAATTTAAGGGGGTCTGAATACTTTCCGTACCCACTGTATTTAACAATAAACTAAGCTAATCTCTTTCCTCATAAACTGTCTCTGCTTCTATCTTTTCCAACCTTGAGTTGCTTTCTCTGTTTAAAAAAAAATAATAAAAAATCTTGTGTTGCACCTTAAAGGCATTAAATATTAAGGTCCATTTGATTTGCCTAAGAAACAGCCAAGGCTCTGACCCTCATGAATATAAATAGATAGAATTCTTAGCCCATCTCACTATCTGTTTCCCCCCCTCTCTCTCTTTCTCTCTTTACTAGCTCTCGTTCTCTTAATGAAAGGAATAAGCCCTCATTTCCTCATCTCATCATACTGTAATGTGACAACTCTGCTGTGGTGAGACGCCTGGGGAGAAACACTTTACCTGGAATGAGCATGTTAGCGTGTGTGTGTGTGAGAGAGACAGAAACCAAGAGAGAATATGTGTGACCATGTGTGCATTGCACCTCAATGAAAAGCTATTCCCCAGCAGGCTTGTAATATGTATCCGGCTTGCACCATACCATCTGTACAGAGTGAAGTCTTTTCACCTGCCAGAGCTCCAGCACAGCTCGGAGCAGAGGACACCAACTTATGGAAAGTTTCCAGAATGTCAAAATGACCTATGTGGGTGTAAACGGTCACATATAGAGCTCAATGATAGTCTCACTTAGCCAGACTGGTCTGAAAGTCTGGTCCACCAAGAACAGCCCACTTTGACAGAACAAAATAGCCTGACCATCATGTAAAGTGATGGTGTGATCATGTTGTGATGGTGTTATTAAGGGGGAAGTTAATCAAAAATAGCTAGAACCACAATAACAAACCAGCACAGTAAAAATGTTTTAAATTATAGCACAACTCGGCCAATAACTGGCTGAAAAATCCACTGTAAAAAAAAAAAAAGAAATAGTTCACCCCCAAATGAAAATGAACTCACCCTCATGACATTCAAGTAAATGAGTTTGTTTCTTTATCAGAACAGATTTGGAGAAATTTAGCATTGCATCACTTGCTCACCAGTGGATCCTCTGCAGTGAATGGGTGCCGTCAGAATGAGAGTCCAAACAGCTGATAAAAACATTACAATGATCCACAAGTAATTGACATGACTCCAGTCCATCAATTAACGTTGTGTAAAGTGTAAAGCTGTGTTTATAAGAAACAAATCCATCAACACATTTTTAACTAAAATGCGAGTCCTCTATGCATAAAATTGCTTTCTCCATTAAAAAACTCATCTCGTCTGAATCAGGAGAGAAATATGCACAGGCCAAGCACCGTTTTACAAGCAAAAACAGTCCAAAAACAGTCCTAAACAAACATGCTGGTGAATTTTGACACGAGAGAACAGGGCATGGATTTTTTTTCACTGGAGGAAGCATCATTTTGGACCAGATAAAATGCCTTCATGATGGATTTCTTTCTTATAAACATGCAGCGTTTCCCTTCACAAGACATTAAATGATGGACTGGAGTCATGTCAATTACTTGTGAATTATTGCAATGTTTTTATCAGCTGTTTGGACTCTCATTCTGACGGCACCCATTCACTGCAGAGGATCCATTGGTGACAAAGTGATGCAAATTAAATTCTTCCAAATCTGTTCTGATGAAGAAACAAACTCATCTACATATTGGATGGTCTGAGGGTGAGTACATTTCCAGCAAATTTTAATTTTTGGATGAACTATTCCTTTAAGGTGTTATTTCTGACCTGAACCTTAAAATGACTTTTGTTGGTGTATGCTAATGTAGTCTGGTTGATTCAGTCATATTAATTCATATTTCTGATTTGACTAAAATAAATTAGAAGTTACTACACAAAACACATTTTAGGCTACCAGACAAAACACCTTACAGTGCCCAGAGATCAGTGAAAATATGTGTAGACTTCATATTAAAAAAATTCTGTCAACAAGTAAGAAGCACATACTCTTATACAACTGCAAATCCACTGAATACTTTGTCTATATCAGTGCTTCTCAAATGGTGGTTTGCAACCTAAAATGGGCTGCAGATCTGTTCTGATAGGGTTAAGGACAGCAGATAAAAACAATGCTAAATGCAAATGACAAAATGCAACTAAAAATAAAAACATGCCTTGTTAGGAAATCAGTATATATATAAAAAGTGTATGAAATTATAAGGTAAGGCACTACAGGCAAAAACATTTTTTTTTAAATACATTGGTCAATTTTGATATTTTGAGCTGTTTGGCTTGTTTCAGACTAGTGGAAAAACATCCAAATTACACTTTATCTACTTGTGCTTGCAGATTTAAGATACAACACACTTTTTTTTAAAGGAATTATTTTTGTTTTCCTCAAAATATTATTATTATTTTTTTTTTCATGCACTGAGCAAGAACGTCTCAGGTTACTTGTGTAACCATGGTTCCCTGAGGGGAACGAGACACTGCGTCCTCTAGGGGTCGCTATGGGGAACGCCTCGTCGTGACCCGTGTCTGAAGCCTACATTGAAAAAACACCAACTTGTTTGGCCGGCGAGCGACCCCTAGAGGACGCAGTTCGAAGTTCCACGAAAGGGAACTCTCCACCTCAGTAGAACTTGCATTCACCAAACTTTATTGCTATAAAATATTCTGAAGGTTTTTACAGTTGCGGTTTGGTTCACGTATCATTTGCCTGTTTTGCCTTTTTTAACAAAATGATATCCCTAAAAACATGCTGAAAATGTATTTAATTTTTTCCCCTGTAGCTGATGACTGTATTTTCTGATTTATTAAGCGATAAAAAAGAGCTATCCAAGATCCTCTCTGTAAAAACCTTAACCTCTAATATGTCAACAAAATGTAACAAGAATTTGTGAACCTGGCTATCCAATGTTAAGATTTCTGTTCTGGGTATTTATGCAAATTAGTTCATATTTAATAAGATAACTAATCATTTGTATTCTGAAAACAAAACTTGCAACACAAACAAGATTGCAATTCTTAATGTAATCAAGCAACTGGATAAGTATGGTGATATCTGTTAGTATTTATATCTATTATATATTACTATGTATTAGTACCTACTCACCTTGGATGTTTTGCCTTAAAATGTAAAAAACACTTCCCATATCTTTTTTCGTTAATGTCAAAGTCTTTGTGTCTAATTATAACTTTATTTCGCCCCCCTAAAAAAAAGATACTGTTTCTTCCACTTGATGCCTGATGTTAAATCAGAGTGCAAAAACAGGTGAGAACCACTGCTTTAGCTAACAGACATAATACATGAATCTGCTACATGGACATCTTGATATCTGATCATTGATAATCTGGTCACATGGAGTTAGCGCATCAGTTTAATAATTATTACTGTATAATTTAGGTCTTGACTCAATACCAGGCCCATAATTATAGCTTCTGGCCATGCCGCATTTTAAATGATCAGATCCCCGAATCCGATAATTTGACTATGATTTTCCATTAGCTGAGTTCATCGGATTCAGATGACCCTCGTGATGATCTCACCTCTTCTAGCCGCACCAGGAAGGTCACATTGCTGCCCATGTTGGCTGTGAGTTTGTCGTCATGGGTTGTCAGGACTAAACCTCGCGGGGGGCGGTTCAGACACTGCTGTTTCCTGGCTGTGTACATCTCCTTCACTCCTTTTGTGCAGTTATTCGCTACCACTTTACGATACCTGAAACACACAAAGAAATCAAAAACTAGTTTGAAACATCGTTCTTTTGAGATAAACTATTTGATGGCTCAATGAAATTCACATTGTGACTTAGTGTCTGGGTCACTGTATTTATCCATTTGAATACAACAAGCCTGATAGATCCATTCTGAGCAGCTCTGGTTTTTTGTTGCTGGATTAATTGGTTTTGGCCACAATTTATGTGACACAATCTCTGAAAATGATCATCGCATTCTTTCTCTGTCTCTTTCCTTGTCTGTAATTTCGCACTCTTGCTCTGAATGGATATGCTTTCCGAGTGATGTTGGTTTTAAATTAGGTTTAAATGAAGTCTTTCCATTACACAGTGTTATCTGTCCAGCTAGGTCTCTTTGTATGGATTGTCTGTCTAGAAAGTTGTCGTAAAGACGGACGCCACAATCTCCAGACAGTTTAAAACCTGCTCACGTCAATATGGCTTGTGCCTGCTCATCAGCACAGTAAGTTTAAATCATGGCTCACTTAATTAAAAATAACCATTTCCTAACACGAGATTGGTTTAGTGCTAGTCTGATTGAACATGCTTTACAAAAAATGCTCTCCACTTTATCCCAGTGATCACAGGAATAATATATGACTATTGGGGAAATACTGTAAGTTAGCTGTTGTATTGTGGAATATACTGTAAGTTAGCTATTGTTTTCTTATTTATTTTCTTATTTATTACTATTTATATACAGTATATACAGTGCCTTGTGCCTATATATATATATATATATATATATGCAATGTACAAAAAAATTCTATATTTTTATATATTTTTTATTTTAACAAATAATAATAATAATAATAATAATAATAATGATAATTAGTAGTAGTAGTATAAAAACAGGATTATTATAGTTAACTAAAACTAAAACCATACATCCATGAAAAGGCAACATTTCTCATTAGCTATTGTTTTCTTATTTCTTATTATTATTATTAAAAATATATGAAATATATAGAAAATTAAATAAATTAATGTTTCTATATTTTTCTATGATGTTTATTCAGTTTATATTGTTTAAAAAGTTTTTATTGTATTAATATTTTGTATTTTTATTAATAAACAATCTTAAAAATATCAAATGTTTTGTATATAATATATAACATATTATTTAAAATATTAAATATGTTAAATATTAAAATATAGCATGAACATATTTTTCTAAAATGCTAAAAAGCATGGTTATTGTAGTTAAAACGAAATCCATAAAAATAATAATAAATAACAAAAATCTTTATAAATAAATAATAATAATGAACATTAAAAACTATATAGACATAATAAAAAAATAACAATAAATATGGCAAAAACTAAATTACTAAAACAGATGTAGCCAGCAGTGACCAAATGTCCCCACAAGGACAGTAAAACACCACCATGATGAAATATGTAGAGTCTGCATATTGTATACAGACAGCTTACCCTGTGCTGTTGAGGTAGTTTTGCCCTTGACTGCAGCTTCGAGACAATGTGGAAGGGTTGAACCAAAATGCAGGCAAACAGTTTCCATCCCCTCTTCTATCAAAACCATAATCACTACAAAACAAAACAAACAAGAACAAAAATCTCACATAAATAACATTTCTTAATTTTGACTCGTTTGAGATATCAATCCATCCATAAAAACATAAATTCACTCCAGGTATGTTTGACTAGTTTCATACAAGGTCATCGCAAGTTCAAATCTCATTTGTGACATTTTCTAATGCCGTTCCCTGATGCCTATCCTGTAAAACATTCTCCAAACTACTTGTACATCCTTTCATTCATGCACAGCGGCACATCTTGTATTCAAGCATGTCCCTCTTTTATGCCCTTGAGACAATTGCAGCCCTCGAGATATATTAATTCTGGGATGACAAATGTCTTTTCTGCTCTGAGAGCTGCAGGCATCAACGTATGTCCTTAACGTCTTTCAATTCTCTCTTCTCCCAGAAGCCCTGGAACCTGCTGAAGTGAATGTCTGTTCATATATCACCGGTGACTTTGATTTATCAATTAATTACTGATCCACAACAAAACCCAGCAGACCACATGGCCCCTTTTGGCATCACACATTTGGGTTTTTAATTATGAGCAGTTCCAATCCGGCACTCAGATAAGAGTCAAGCTTTAAAAGATAGTTGTGTGTTAGTTCTCAGATTATTCCCATACACATGTAGTGTTGTTTTAGGTATATATGGGTGATTCTTTAATTAGTAACACTTTCATTACTTTTTTTTTTTTTTTTTTT